ATTACTTTACAAATGGAAGAAGTATTCACCACTTGGAATACTGCATCCAGTTTTGGTCACCGCAGTGTAAAAAAGATGCTGAGACTCTAGAAAGAGTACAGAGAAGAGCAATAAGGATGATCAGGGGACTGGAGACTAAAACATATAAGGAACGGCTGCTAGAATTGGGTATGTCTAGTTTAATGAAGAGAAGGACGAGTGGGGACATGATAGCAGTGTTCCAATATCTCAGGGGCTGCCACAAAGAAGAGGGAGTCAAGCTATTCTCTAAGGCGCCTGAAGGCAGGACAAGAAGCAATGGGTGGAAACTAATCAAGGAGAGAAGCAACCTAGAACTAAGGAGAAACTTCCTGACAGTGAGAACAATTAACCAGTGGAACAACCTGCCTCCAGAAGCGGTGAATGCTCCAATACTGGAAGTTTTTAAGAAGAGACTGGATAGCCATTTGTCCGAAATGGTATAGGGTTTCCTGCCTGAGCAGGGGGTTGGACTAGATGACCTCCAAGGTCCCTTCCAACTTTACTATTATTATTATTATTATTATTATTATTATTATTATTATTATTATTATTATTATTATTATTATTATTATTATTAATTATTATTACTATTATTTGCAGATCCTACGTTCTGTTGCTTCTAACTCCATCTTCTCCCCCCATCTTTCGCTCTCCCCTCTTCCCTCCACCAACCGCTGCACCTTTATTCTCTTCCTCTCCCACAACTACTTGTAGAAACAGAACGTGGCCAACAAGCCTGGACATCAGAGCAGAAGTGACCCAGGCTGGGGACAGAGGCATCTGGGGCGGACTTACGGAGACAATTATCACAGGCATTTGAAGCAGCCTTGGCAGCTTAGATTAAAACCACATCGGTTTATCTTTGAGCGTCCCATGTGAAGAGACTTCGTTTTTACTCAGCGGAGCAATTTGGAGCTTTCAGTGCATTGAGACTAAGAGCCCCCCCCCCTCCCCTCTCTTTTTGAGGCTGGACTCCAAGCCCCACAATGCTGGTACACGGCTCTGAAATCAGATTTTGTATCGTAGGAAATCGGGAGTTTGTATCGTATTACAATGCCTGCACATGTAATAAAGGACAATAACAGCATTTCTCTCTCATTATTTGGAAAACAGACAAATCAAAGAAACAGCCGGTTTTTATAGCTCTGGTATCCCAAAGGCCAGCCTCTCTTCATGCTTCCTAATAACGTCCTAATAACACTTCAAGCCGCTCTCCACTTCTACTGTTTTATGAACTTGCATGCACTAGGTAAGAACTACTAAGCTGTTCCTCCAGCCGGATCACATGCTTGGCCTATCTCAGTGGTGGCGAACCTATGGCACGCGTGCCAGAGGCGGCACTCAGAGCCCTCTCTGTGGGCACGTGCGCTGTCGCCCCAGCCCTGCCTCCTCCCACGGCCCCCTCATCAGCAGTTCCCCCGGAGGAGATTCGTCCCCCAAGCGTGGCCCGCACGGAGCAGCACAGTCAAGGACATGGCGGCCAGGCAGCGGGGACAAGACTCTGCCCTCATGCCCCATCGCACACAGATGATGCTGTGGGGTGCGGACGAAGGGCATGCCTGCCATGGTGCTGCTGGGCTGCCTGGGCGATCTGGGGCAGGCCATGGAGGCGATGGGTGGCTGGGGGGATGGGGAGGGGGGTGGGGGTGGGGCGGGCATGGTGGGGGCGGAGCCAGTTTTGGGGCACTTGGTCTCTAAAAGGTTTGCCATCACTGGCCTATCTTGTCCAGCAGTCTGTCCTCTCAGGAGCCAACTGACCGCAGAAGGAAGCCCACGAATCTCCAGCAGATGCCTCCAGAGGAGCCCCACGGCCATCAATGCTGACAACCATTGACCCCCAGGACCTGTCCAAATTCATTCAGCCTTTTTTTTTTTTTTGAAGCCAGCCAAGCTGGGAGCCGCCATATAACAAAGTTCCACCTTGTACAAAAACTATTCCCTTTTTTTCCATCCTGATTCTTCCGTGATTCAATTCCATTGGTGGCTTCTGGTTGGGTGTTTCTCCTGGCCCGCTTTATCCACACGGTCCATAATTCCGCACACCTCCATCCCGACCCTTCTCGTTCACCTCTTTTCAGGGCCCAAAGCCCCCAACGTCCCCCCACCTTTCCTCTGAGGAAGCTGCTCTGGCCACCCTCGGATCCTCTTAGCTAGCATATGAATAGAATAGAAGCTGGAAGGGACCTTGGAGGTCCAGTCCCCTGCTCGAGCAGGAGAACCTATACCATCTCAGACAAGTGAGTGTCTAGCCTGTTCTTAAAAACCTCCAGTGATGGAGCGCCCACGATTTCTGGAGGCAAGCTGTTCCACTGGTTAATTGTCCTCACTGTCAGGAAATTTCTCCTTAATTCTAGGTTGCTTCTCTGTTTGATCAGTTTCCAACCATTCCAACATAGTTTCTCTTTTCTCCACTTCCTTCAATCCCTTCCCTCCTGTCCCCTCTCGTTCACCTTTCCAGAGCCAAAGCCCCCAATGTCCCCACTTTCCTCCGAGGAAGCTGCCTTCCCTGCAAGGAATATTCTCCAGCTCCACAATGTTCCTTCTGAGGTGGAGCCCTGGAACTGTGCACAAGGTTCCAGATGTGGTCGCACCACTGGTTTATGCAAGGCCATCCTAATATCGGCACCTCTATTTTCAATATGTTTATTTTCAACACCGTTTCTTGTGATACCCAACGCGCTGTTGGCCTTTTTCACAGCTGATGACGCTGTTTGGACACTCTCATTCAATTGCTTCCCCTTATCAGTCCCTGCTAGTAACAATCCCATTATTTGCGCGTGCAGACAGGAATTTTCCCGCCACGTGCAACACACTGGTGCCAAAACTTCACGTAGGTCTTGGCTCCAAAAGGCCAGAAAACTCTCTAAGGATCATTGCACGCAGGGCCCCTGACGCAGCCATGCCATCCCGGCCCCTCTTGGCATAATGAGGGTTCATTATCCTAATTACATCGCCTCCCTTATTTGCCACCTCCAGGAAGAGAGCCCAGGGGCTCCGATCTCTGCCAGAGCAATCAGCCGCTGATTATATGCCTCTGGAGGAAAAAGGCAGGAAGAGAGCCAACGCTCCAAAGAACACCTGCACGGAGCAGCCGATCCGGCTGGCCTAGTCCCCGGAAAGACGCAGGGCTGCTTCCTGAATCACAGGCACCCCCTGAGCGCCATTCAGGGCAGGTTTTGTCACCCACAGCCAGCCTTCCGCCTCCTGCCCTTCCTCTTGGGCACACACTTCCTGGCAGATGCCTTGGGCTTGGCCGAGACTCTGAGGGGGGCCAGCCAGGTGCAGGGAGCAGAAGGAAGAGGAGAAATGTCCAGAGAAGGAGCTGCAGGCAGGAGGTGGAGGGGAAGGCTCCAGGCACACAACTCACGGGGGTCACCCCAGAACGGCCCTCCTGCCCTGCTGAGCCCGTGTCGAAGGATCCCCTGCCTTCCCTCACACAGGGTCCTTGCTTGGGAGGTGGGAAGGAGGCCCTCCTTTCACGAAGCCTCGGTTGGGTGAGAAGCCATGGATGGATCCCGTCTGGGATTTGGGTGGCCACATAAATCCGAGGAGTAAAGACATCTAGGTGCAACCTGGAGTAAAGACATCTAGGTGCAACCTGTTGCTTGAAACACACGACAGGGGGCAGGGGTCGCTCCTGACTTCCCCTCTTCCCAGTGCCGAGTCCCCCCTCCCCTTAATAGCAAGGGATGCCCAGTGCAACGGCCCCTCTGTACTAACACCCACATGTTTTTAAGGAGTACCTGAAGCAGCACCGAGGCTGTGGATACTTACAAATGGAACTTCTCCTCCCAAATGGGGTTCAGATTCCCAAAAATGGTCTTGGTCCTCTTCTTTGTTTTGCCCACCTGGACGGTCACATAGGGGTCGCTGGAGCCGGTCTTGTCTTTGGCTTGCAGGCCTTGGGCACAAACCACTGCCGGGTGGGGGGGAGGGGGAAGGAAAAGGAAGGGGTGAGGGGGGAGGCCAGGAAGTGCCCTGGAAGCCGAGTCCCTGGCTCTGGGGCAAGCTTCAGGAGGGCTACCCTCCTCCCACACCCCCAGGGCTCTGCTTCTTCCCTCACCTGTGATGGTGATTTTGGCTGACCACTTGGAGGTCCCATCCAGGACGCTCTGCTTCACCGCCTTGATCTGCTGCCCGTGGGTCACCTTGTTCTCCCCGAAGACGTCCCGGATCAGGTCAAAGATCTCCGGCTTGTTCCGCTCCCGGATCTTCATACGGTCCTTCATCGCCATGATGATGTTCTGGGTCCGATCCTCGGCACCGTGCTTGGAGCACTTTTCGGCGGCTCCTGCGGAGGGGGGAGGGGAGGGGTGTGGCGGGGTCACAGGGACTGGCCTGTCTGCACTGCATCTGCTCCTCTGTCCAGTTGGAATGGGATGTGGGGATGACCTTGGCGGGGGGGGAAGGAAGAGCCACACTCGGGGAACACCTGGATAAGAGGCAGTTTGGCCCAGGGAAGCCCTCCGAAGGGACCCTGCCTGGTTACCTGGGCTGCAGGGGACAAGACTCGGGGGAGGTGAGTGAGTCTCCAGGTTGCAATGGCAACTGGGACCAGGATTGTGGTCGCTAAGCAATGCGGTTGCAAAGTGCAGTGTCAGGTGACTGCATTGCTTAGGGTCAGCAATCCTAACCCTTAAATCCCTGGGGACAAGATGGCCACCTTATTCCAGTACTGGAGGGCTGCCCCAGAGGGGGGGTATCAAGCTGTTCTCCAAAGCAGAGACCCCCAACCTTTTGGGCACCAGGGACCGCTTCTGTGGAGAAAGATTTTCCACGGATCAGAGAGGGCATGGTTTTGTGTGTTGCCTGCATCCCACGGATGGGGCTTTGCTTGTTAGTGCGGCCCGGTTGCTGGCATGTTGTGGCCCGGTGCTGGTCCACGGACCGGGGGTTGGGAACCCCTGCTCCAGAGCACCAGAAGGCAGGACGAGAAGCAGGACGGATGGAAATTCACCCAGGAGGGAAGGAAACCTAGAACTAAGGAGAAACTTCCCGACAGGGAGGACAATTGATCAACAGAAGTTGCCTTCAGAAGTTGTGGGTGCTCCATCACTGGAGGTTTTCAAGAAGAGACTGGACAGCCATTTGACTACAATGGCAAAAGGTCTCCTGCTTGAGCAGGGGGTTGGGCTACAGGACCTCCAAGGTCCCCTTCCAGCTCTGTTCTGATTCATTGAATCCCAGCAGTCCAAGCTGCCATTACAACTTTAGGATCGTGTGGGTCGTTCAAGCGAGTCTCAGGCGAGAACGGGGGAGGGAGGCAGGTGGATGCTGCAGAGGCTTGGAAGGGACACAAGGTGGAAGGGCAGCCAATGAGGGCCCCAGGTGTGTGCTGGGAAGCCCAGGTGAGCCTGCAGGGGCCACAGACAGGTTGCGGGGGGATGTGCATTATGGAGGGTGAGGACCGTGCTGCTGGGCTGAGCAGTCTTCTCCCAGGGGTTGCTCTGCTGAGATGCCTGACTGCAACTCTCCTAATTCCTGGCCCGCGGGGCATCTGGGAACTGCAGTCCAGCCACAGGAAGGAGGTCGCCGGCTGGGGCAAAGAGCGAGCTGGAGGACTCCCGGGCGGAGAGAGCCAGGCGCCCGTCTCCCAAAAGGAAAGGCCCCTGCTGGGTCCTGCCTGGCAGCTCACGGGCCGCCATCCCTGGAGAAGCGTCCGGGTGGCCAGGCCCGCCTCCCTCCGGCGAGAAGGGAAGCCCCGCAGCTCCTTCAGAAAATTTGCCTCTCCCCCACCCCCACCCCCCGTACGGAGGTATGGAGGACATCTGCTGGGTGGGAGGGTAAGGCCTGCGTATGATTTGTTCTTGGAACTGAAAATAGGCATTGCCACTTAAAATAAAACCCGTCTTCTCTGGCACCGAGGCTGCTGTGCCAACATTTCTTGACAGAGGGACTCTGAGGAAACGGGCACCTGTCGAGGCTGCGCTTCAATCACCGCTTCCACACGCGGCACCCCGGCTGCCAAAAAAGGAAGGTGGCCCCCCTCCTCTCCCACGGAGGGCCCCGAGCTGGGCTTCCCAGCTTGGCACAGGCCCCCACCCAGTCCAGAAGCACCCGGTCTCCTCTTCCTCACAGGGAGCCCCACAAGCTGCGGGGCTGCCAGGCTTTCTTCCGGTGGCTTGACCTTCCTCCAACGGGAGTGGGTGTGGGTGTGGGAGGAGGGGGCGCGGGCTGAACTGAGCAAAAGTGGGCGGAGGGGGGGCAGATCTTCCGTGGCAGGGAGGGGCTTCGCACCCAGGTCTCCCTGGGCTTAGGCCAACCCCCTCAGCCCCACCTGCCCTGACGAGCCCCTCCCCCATGAGGGCCCTTCCGAAGGGACAATCAAGGCCAAGAGATACAGAAGAACCCGGCCTGCCATGAAGAGGGGTTGGGGCGCGTGAGCAGAACCCCGAGATTCAGTTTCCTAGAGGATTCCCCCTCTTCCATCTTTGCTCATGCTCTCCTCTTAAAATTCTCGGACCGGATCGCTGGCTGAGAAAGCCGCCTTTTCTCCCATCTCCTGGAATTTCTGCCTCTGTGGAGCTGGGAATCTCTTCGTCTGGGCATCTCCTCTCCTTACCACGCAATAGGGAAGGAGCTGCCGGTGCGGATAAAGGGGCAGACCCCGGTCTCCAGCCGGGAGGGTGTGACAGTCAGTCTCCTCCTTTCGGACATGACTTATCCTTCACTAGCAATGCATCCAGGGTTATCTCCAAGTGCTCCATTTTATTTTATTTAACAAAATTCCTTCCCTCTCTTCCTTCCTTCCCTCTCTTTCCTTCCTTCCTTCCTTTCCTCCCTCTCTCCTTCCCTTTTCCTTTCCTTCTCCTTCCCTTCTTCTTTCCTCCTTCTCCTTTCCTCCTTCCCTTCTGTCCTTCCTTCCTTCCTTCCTTCCTTCCTTCCTTCCTTCCTTCCTTCCTTCCTTCCTTCCTTCCTTCCTCAGAAGGGGGGGGACAGGAGGAAGTTCTACTTCAAACAACACCAGCAGTCCTTTGCTGACAGCAGGAACAGCAAGCTGAAGGGGATGCCAACATATTGTAGCACCCTGGAGGGTTTGGGGTCTTTGTTAGGGCGCAAAAATAGTCCTTCGTGGTCTTTTGGCCAGCCACAGCTCAAGAAAGGCCCTCTCCCCTCTCCCCTCGTCGCTTGGGGAGCCCACACAAAAGCCTGGGGTCTCAACCTCCCTCCCCCTGCCTGGAAAGGGAGGGCCACTCACTCTGCAGGCAGTCGGCATTGAGCAGGTCTTGGCACTTTTCGTGGCACTTGACCCCACATTCCGTACAGCGCATCCCTTGGCGTGCGATGCCCCACAGGAGCCCCTCGCACTCGTAGCAGTAGGTGGGGGTTGTGGCGGTCCACACCTCAAACTTATGGGGTGTGGTGCAGGAGATGGGGTAGATTAAGGCTTGGAGGGTCTTCTTGTACACGTGGGATTTCTGAAACAAAAAAAGAGTTCCAAGAAAGAAACCCCTTTTTCTCAGGGAGAGAAAACCCCCCCCCCAATCCTGGGGATGTGAGATGGCTATACCTGGAGCAGACCCCAGACCTCTATTTGCAAACTACCGGGAGGTTTCTGCAGAGTCCAGCCTGGGTAGGATAACATGCCCCTTGGCATGCCCAGCCAGGGCCTAACCCGATCCCCCTTGACTCCTTCGGGTTCCCCCCCATGGCTCCCCGGCTTCAGGGCCTTCCCAAAGGAGGGGCAGGAGTGGGCTCACATCTTCTAGCAAGCATCTCTCCTGAGCACTGTGGTCCCGCATACACAAAGAGCCCCAACACGCCTCCCCCACTTGCTGTGGGGGCACCCGAAGTGGCTTTTGTGTAGCTGAAAGGCTCCCACTCTTGGCTCTGCTCATCTGCCAGGGAGGGAGGGCAGCCCTGCCTCGGGGTGATGCACCTCAGGGAGGGCCTCAGAGGATCCCCCCTCCCCGGGTTCAGGACCTGACCCTCCCCCCGTCACCTCCTGGCCTGGCCCAGTTGCTCTCCGGCCTTACCAGCTCTTCATCCTTGAGAGACGTCCGGGTGGACATGGCCGAAGTGATGCCCGCCTTCCGCGACTGCACCAGCGACTGGAAAAGGAATCGGTTATTGGGGGCTTCAGAGGGCACACTTCTTTGGGGGGGGGTGTCTCTTGGGCACGGAAGCCCCTCATGAGAGGACCATCTGAGCCCTCCTCCCCTGCCTGCCCCATCCCCTCAGCCCTCAACTGGCATCACTATTCTTCCCTTTCCCCCAAACGCCCAGGGGAGGATCTCTCGGCCCCCCCGCCTGGAGGCCTCCCCCAGCTCTCCCACCTGCGGAGGGTCTCTAGGTGGGAAGGAGAAGGGAAGGTCCCCTGTCCTGGAGCCCCTGGCTGGATTGGCCATCTGCTGGGAGAGACCGCCAATGCCTGGAGGGCCCTGGCAGTCCCCCACCGAGGCCCTCTTCCTCCTTCTCCCCCCAGGGCGAGTCGGCCGGTCCAGGAAGGCAGGAGCCAAGCAGTCAGCAGGCTGGGAGCATCGAGGCCGCCAGGGGCAAGTCCCCCACGGGCCAGGAGGCGTAGGGGCCACAAGGCGCTCCAGAAAAAAGTGTGTGTGGGGGAGAACACCCCTTCGGTGAAGGAAGCTGGGCGTTGCTCTCCGCGTACTTACCATGGCCTGCGGGAGGGAAGCGCCAGCGTCCAAGAGAAGCAGAACACATTAATGCCACCCTGCCCTCGGCTATCGGACCCCCACCGAAGGGCCCCTCAGCAAGCCCCAGGACCACCCCCAGGGCTTGCAGCCACTGGCCACTAGCCCCATGGAAGGGTGGGCAACCGCTCCCCCCCTCCCCCCTCCTATTTGCTTCCCCACAGCTGGAACACCCCCCACCCCGCTTTTTAACTCTGCCACCTGGAAGTACAGAGGGAAACCTTCCCTCCCCCACAAAAATACGCTCCAAAGGGCGCCCCCCCATCCCATTTTCCTGACGTGGGGCTGTTTCCGGCCAATCACCTCTTGTCCCAAATCTCTCCCCCCCCCCGCTTTCACTGGGAGAAGAAGAGGCTGCAGTTAGGGGAGAGGGAGGTCTTCTCAAGACCCCAAAACTAGATGGGACCGTAGACCCCCATTTCTTTTCTTTTTAACATTTTGGGTCACAAGAGCGGCTTTTTTGTGGACGAAGGCTCCACATTCTCACACTCAAAAGAACCTGAGTGGGGGGGGGGAAATGAGTTACCCAGAAACAGCAAAGTTGTCCCAGCCCCCCCTCCCTGTCCCCGTGCCCCACAACCCTAAGGGCACGCTGAGCAGTCAACAGAGCTGTGGAAGGCCCCAAAGACGCTTGCTTTTCCTTGCTGCCTGCCCCTCTCTTTGCTACTCGAGAGTAGGATGTGGAAGTGCCTCTCCACCCCTCAACCCCCCCCAACCAGCAGAACGTCCGTCTGTGTTCCGGGGAAATGCTGCCACTATGGTGCCCGGCAACCCATAGCCCAAAGCTGGGGTGGGGGGTCATACTGTGACCGAGGGGGTCCTCTCACCAGGTCACTGACGAGCGGAAGCGGCTTCTTCTGCCGTAGGTCAGGCATGCTGTCGATGCCGTACAGGCCACCCGCTGGCCTAGAAGCAACAAAGGGGTGTAGGGCGTTAGGGCGGGCAAGGGGGACGTGGCAGAAACCCAGCCAGACGCTCCCTGGCCATGAAGGGAGCGGGGTGAATGGGAGAGCCCCCCCTGTGGCATCCAGGAACATAGGTGGCCAAGGCAAGAGAGGATTGGGATATGGCAAGGGCATTTATGGGTCTGGACACAGAAAGAGCCTTCAGCCTGCGGCTCTCAAAGTCCCCTCAAAGTCCCTCCCACACACACATGCAGCTCCTGCCCTCTGGAATGACCTGCCCCCCCCGACCTACGTACAATTGCGGACCTGCGCCTCTTCCGCCGAGCCCTGAAAACTCATCTGTTCCATGCGGCCGGCCTGGCGTAGTTTTGATTGGGTTTTGTTAGGGGTTTTATATTTTAGAGCAGGCTTTTATGTAATATTTACTGTGATTTTTATTATTGCCTGTTCACTGCCCTGAGTCCCGTAAGGGAGATA